ACAGCCATAAGGCTGGTAGTTCATAGGGTAGGCCCAAAACTTAGAGGCTGGGAAGGTCAGGTGACCCCTTGCAAAACACTGAGCCGCCAGGGGTAAGAAGCCAGGAGCCGCAGAACCAAAGCGCCCCTCACCTTCCCTTCCTTGATCAGGCGTTTGCACTGCAAGAAGTACCAGTACGGGGTGTTTCTCCGGCCTTGCCATAATTTGGGCTCCGGTTCCTCTGGCTCCTCTCTCTGTTCCCTGAACCGCAGGTTATGGAACTGGGCTGTGGATTTGTGGAATAGTCTCCGGGAGGAGTATTTGTCAGAGAGGGTCCCAAAACTCTCCTCCTCCTCCTCGTCTTCTTCCTGCATGGCCGTGGAGTTGGAGTGGCTCGGGTCAGAGCCCAGGCTGCCCGTGTTCTCCGGGTGTTCCTGGCCGAGGGGCAGCTGAGAGGAGGAGCTGCTGAAGGCCACCCACACTGGCCGCATCAGCCCCTCCCTGCCTCCCGCCCACCTGGCGCTACAGGGATCCAGGTGTTGCAGGACGAACAGTCCCATGGGGCGGGCCCTGGAGAACAGTCTAGTGAGTCTCATGAGGTTCATTTCTGGCTTTCCGGTCCCTCCAGGGCCTGGAATATATCAGGAAAAGTAAGAGAGTCAACTCAGTTCCTAGTCACAAAAGGCAGAAAGAAAGAAGTGCTTAGAAGTATGGGCCCAGGCTGGGCGCGATGGCTCATGCGTGTAATCCCAGGACTTGGGGAGGTCGAGGCCAGCATATCACTTGAGGTCAGGAGTTTGAGACCAGCCTGGCCAACATGGTGAAACCCTGTCACTATGAAAAATACAAAAATTAGCCAGGCATGGTGGTTTTTACAGCCAGGTGCGCCTGTAATCCCAGCTACTCAGGAGACTGAGTCAGGAGAATCACTGGAACCCGGGAGATGGAGCTTGCAGTGAGCTGAGATTGCGCCACCATACTCCAGCCGGGTGACAAAGTGAGACTCTGTCTCAAAAAAACCAAACCAAACCAAACAAACAAACAAACAAAAAAAAAGAACAGGCCAGGAACGGTGGCTCATGCCTGTACTCCCAGCACTTTGGGAGGCCAAGGTGGGCAGATCAGTTCAAGACCAGCCTGGTGAAACTCCACCTGTACTAAAAATAGAAAAAAAATGAGCTGGATGTGGTGCTACATGTCTAATCCCAGCTACTCAGGAGTCTGAGGTAGGAGACTCACTTGAACCCAGGAGACCGAGCTTGCAGTGAGCTGAGATCACGCCACTGCGCTCCAGCCTGAGTGACACAGTGAGACTCTGTATCAGAAAAATAATAATAATAATAAATAAAATAAGAAGTATGGGCCCAAAGGTTAGAAAGCCTAGGTTCAGGTCAGACATAGCTCACTGCAGCCTCACCCTCCTGTGCTCAAGCGATCCTCCCATTTCAGTCTCCTGAGTAGCTGGAACGACAGGTGCGTGCCACCATGCCTAATTTCATTTTATGGTCGAGACGGGGTCTTGCTATGTGCCCAGGCTGGTCTCGAACTCCTGGACTCAAGCAATCCTCTCACCTTGACCTCCCAAAGCACTGGCATTATAGGAATGAGCCACCATGCCCAGCCTAAAATATTTTGAAGTCTGGTTATATTAGAAGGTTGCCATTGGAAAAGTCTCACAAGTGATGGCAGATTGAACAGATTAAAAACTAGGCCCAGCAGGCCAGGAGCGGTGGCTCACGCCTGTAATCCAGGAACTTTGGGAGGCAAAGGTGGGTGGATCACCTGAGGTCAGGAGTTCGAGACCAGCCTGACGTGGTGAACCCCATCTCTACTAAAAATACAAAAATTAGCTGGGCATGACAGCATGTCCCTGTAATCCCAGTTACTCGGGAGGCTGAGGCAGGAGAATCACTTGAACATGGGAGGCAGAGGTTGCAGTGAGCCAAGATAGCGCCATTGCACTCCAGCCTGAGCAACACAGCAAGACTCTGTCTCAAAAAAACCAACAATGACAACAAACAAAAAACTAGGCCCAGCAAGGGGAGAGACTTGCTGGGGTCCTGCAGCAGTGCAGTGGGTGAGACTGGCCAGTTTGGGCTGGGCTGGCTTAGAACTCAGGTCCATGTAACGTATGGACAGACTCTCCTGACTAGCACCTTTGTGAAACTAGTGCAGGGGGCCTTTATCATTCTGCATCTGGCAAGCCCTGCCACTCCTTCTTACAAGCATGGTGTTTATGTAATTTTCTTTTTATGGGAATGGGGTCTTCATGTTGCCCAGGCTGGAGTGCGATGGCACAGTGGCAAACGCACAATCACTGCAACCTCCAACTTCTGGGCTCAAGTGATCCTCCTACCTCAGCCTCCCAATTAACTAGCATTACTGGTGCACACCACCATACCCAGTTAATTTTTTGTAGAGATGTAGTCTCCCTATGTTGCCAGGCTGGTCTAGTACTCCTGGCCTCAAGCAATCCTCCAGCCTTGGTCTCCCAAAGTGTTGGGATTGCAGGCGTAAGCCTCCATGCCCTGCCTTATGTGCATTAATTACAATACACAGAATTACAAAACAAAAAGCAATGATATTGAAATGGCATCAAAATGCTTTAAAAACAAATTTCTGCTATACTAGCATAGATGCTTATTTTCAATGCATTAAATAACAAGACCCTACAATAATTTCAAAGCAGTAATGAATGTAAGTGACAGCTTAAGATACCACCTTGTAGTTGCTGCACAAACTGTTTTTTTTTTTGAGTCTCACTCTGTCGCCAGGCTGGAGTGGGGTGGTGCCATCTCGGCTCAATGCAACCTCTGCCTCCCGGGTTCAAGCGATGCTCATGCCTCAGCCTCCCAAGTAGCTGGGATTACAGGCACGCACCACCACTCCCGACTAATTTTTATATTTTTAGTAGAGACGGGGTTTTGCCATGCTGTCCAGCCTGGTCTTGAACTCCTGACCTCAAGTGATCCTCCTGCCTCGGCCTCCTAAAGTGCTGGAGTGACAGGTGTGAGCCATCACGCCTGGCCCTGCACAAACTCTTATCTGGAACTATCATTTACACTCACCCCAACTTGAAATTATGACACAGTTTCAGGCACTGCTAAGGCTGCTCCAGCAATTGGGAAAGGAAATGCTAAATTTCACAGAGAAAATAGGGGTGTCATTTTGTTCCTATACAATTTCATTACCCCACCCTGGTTAGAAAACCCTTAATTAGACCATACAGTGGCTCATGCCTGTAATCCCAGCACTTTGGGAGGCCCAGGCGAGTCGATCGCTTGGGGCTTGGGGCTAGGAGTTCAAGACCAGCCTGGGCAACATAGCAAGGCCCCCATCTCCACAAAAATTAAAAATAAAAATTTAAAAATTAGCCAAGCGTGGTGGTGCAGCTACTCAAGAGGCTGAGGTGGGAGGATCGCTTGAGCCTGAGAAGTTGAAGCTGCAGTGAGCTATGATCGTACCGCTGTACTCCAGCCTGGGCCACCTAGCGAGAAAAGAAAAAACCCTGAATTAGAGACACGCTGCGGCCGTCCTTCTTCGGAGAGACCCGCCCCTCCTCAGACGCCTACCCGGACCCTCAGGCCAACGCCGACCCCTCTCCACACAGACTTTTGCAGCCTCAGTTTCCCTCCTCGGACGCCCCTGGCTCCAATCCTGGTTCGGGCACTTCCTTCCCCTCTGGCGTGTCTCTGCCCGGATCCCGGGGTTCCTGCGAGGATCACACAAGAACTCACTTGAAGTGTCCGGCGCAGTGCACTCCGACGGGGCTCTCTACCCGGTCCCCGCGACGGACCCGGCTCTCCCACGGGTCACCCTCTCCCCTGACGCGCAAGCGCAGCCCGCGTCGCCGACACACGCGGCTGGTTTCAGCTTTCCGGCGAGACTAGGCCGGCGTTCGGCTGGCGGCTAGCCGGGACTAGCGGAGCGGCGGGACTCCGCGCTCGATTGGCAGTGCCTGGACAGGCGCAACAACCGGCGCGGGCTCTGGGCGCTCCCGGCATCCCTCGGGCGGCGGCGGCGGCGGCGGCTGCGAGGCGCAGGAGGAGCGTGTGCGGCGGGCCCGGCGGCGGGTAGAGAGGCGAGAGGGCTGCAGGAGACCGAGGGGGAGCCGGGCCGGTGGGGCCGCCGCCGCCGCCATGCAGGAAATAATCGCCAGCGTGGACCACATCAAGTTTGACTTGGAGATCGCAGTGGAGCAGCAGCTCGGGGCGCAGCCGCTGCCCTTCCCCGGCATGGACAGTGAGCGCGGGGCCCTGGCGGGAGGGCGAGAGCGACTCGAACTCGGGACCCGCTCCTCTGTGTTCCCGGGACTCCTTCGCCTCGGTCCTGAGACCTCCCCCGGCTTCCTCTGGATCCTGGGACCCCTCCCCTTCGGTCGCGGCACTCCTCCCTCTATGTCTTGAGAGTCCCTCCCACCTCCTCCGGGTCCTGGGACCCTCCCCTTTAGTTCCCGAACTCCCTCATCTGTGATCCGGGACTCTTCTCACTCCATCCTGAGACCTCCTCTTCTGGATCCCGGTACGCTCCCCCTTGGTTCCAGGACTGCTGACTCCCAGGCCCCCATTTCCACCGTCTGGGGACCCCTTTTCCCCTCACTCGAACTCAGGAGTTCACTGCCTCGGATCTTTGGCCCCCTGCGGCTGTTTAAAGGTAATCTGTAGGCGGGTAGGACCTTGTCCGTTCGCTTAATTCTTGAATAAGGGTGGGTTATCCTGGATTGGAACTCTCCCTCAACACTCTCCCAGCTACAGGAGAGTACTAGGATATCGCACCCCCTACCTCCCAACCCCGCTACATTGAGCGTCTCTTCTTTTTGCTTTCATCAAAACTAGGCTGTTGGAGGAGGCGTGCTGAGGGAAGGACCACCTCTCTGTAGGAGACCCCAGCTAGACTCTTAAACTTCCTTCTAGGACTCTCTCTCCTGGGAGCTCATCCTTAGTTTTTGGCCTGTCCCTACTTTTTTCTGGACCCCAACTCTGAGTTGTTCATCACACCCAGCAGCTGGTGTGGTCCCTTAGCCTGAACTCCCTTCACTCCTCCCTTTCACATGGTGGTTCCTGGCTCCCCATATCTTGTACTTTAAAAGAAACCGGTAGTTTTCTTTGTGTCTTCTTTCCTATCCGGACACACTTGAAATCTAATGCTATAGCCTTAAAGTTCGCGGGCTTGTGGAAGTCACTGAGTTCAATCCACAGATGGGGAAACTGAGACCCAAGCAGGGGAAGGGACTTGCTGACGACCACTCAGTGCATAGCAGAGCCAGGCAAGTTCTCCAGTGTTGTGTACTGTCGTCCCGCACTACCAGCGGGGTCTCCCACGTCTCCCAGCAGCCTCTCTCCCCTCAGGCGGCCACACCTTCTCATGCACATGTGACCTCTGAGTCTGTCCCTTTCTGTGGTTTTTTTGTTGTTGTTTGTTTGCTTTTGAGACAGGGGCTCCTCTTTTGCCCAGGCTGGGTGCAGTGGCGCAATCATGGCTCAATGCAGCCTCGACTTCCCAGGCTCTGACAATCCTCCCACCTCAGTTTCCCAAGTAGTTGGGACCACAGGTGTGCACCAACACGCCTGGCAAATTTTGTGTGTATGTGTTTCTTGGTAGAGACACTGTTTCACCATGTTTCCCAGGGTT